ATAAGTGGGTCTATCCGAATTACAAACTCGAAACATGAATGATTAAGGTCATAAAAAAAATCCATATTACATATAGTTATATGCTTTTCCGTTCATTTAAAAAGTAACATGATATGAAGATAACATGAAAAATAAATAACGACTTTATACTTCTCCTCGCCTGCAAGATCGATTGAAATATTCATGCAATTAAATACTGCAAACAATCAACAATGAATTGGAAATTATTGGTTTATACTTTAACCAACCAATACTTTATCGTTTCCTATATTCTGCTACACCAAACACATTCTCGGCAGTCAGAATTTTGAACATACCAAACAAATATATAAATTTTGAACACCAAGTCACCAACTAGGCTTCCACTGTTCCCCATACACCACAAAGTTACAAAATTGCTGGTAACATCAATCAGAATTAATGAACGTATGATTTAAAAAATCTAAGAAACAAAACGAAAAGGACGTGCAATTATGTAAAGTAAACCTAGTAGATTCTTATGAGAGTCATTGATTAGTATGATATTTCCGGAATATTTTATACTTTTTTTGGTTGAATTAATTTATATTTATACACATGGTTTGTTCTCTCCATTAGTTATAGGGGTTATTCTTTATAATCTAAAGTTAGAAATTAACTGAATTTTCTATAAGTTGGTATGCATAATTGGCTTAATTAATTGAGAGATGCAAGCTAGCTCTCAACATAAAATATTACTTCAACCACATGTATATATATAGCTTGCTATATTTATACAAGACAGAGACAAAAAATAGAGAGTATTGAAGACAAAGTTGGAATAATGAAAATGATGCCTTTTAATTGTATTTAATTAGGCGTGTTAATATTGTTTGTAACGTATTCTGTGTTATCTGACTATTCCGACCATTCAAATATACAAAAAGGGACATTAATACATTATTCTCTGTTTTTAAAGAAGAATATACATTATTCTCTGTGATCAAGAGTTGCCAACTGGCACAAATAAAAATTTAAGACAAAGTAAACTAAGGTTCAAAATAAACAATTAAACAATGATCCAATTAAATCTTTGTTCCAACTTTTTAAAACAACTGTTATTGTTAAATATATTGAAAGGGCACAGTTTTGAGTGGGCAAGTAAACACCCCATTTTGCTGTGTCAATTTGCTTTAATTTGTTACACAAAAAACTTTATATTCTTACAAAAAAAGAAAACTAGTCAACTTTTATTTATGTTTTTGATATTTAGTGGAATAAGTGTCATCTTAAATATTACAAACTGAAGCAGTTCAGTATTGGTTGGCATGGAATGAGAGGCTTTTTTTTTCTCTTCTTCTGAAGGTTGTAATATTAAATATAGAATTATTTAAAAAATTAAAAAATGATTTAACTAAATTTAGTTTGGTCATATGAACTATCACTTTTCCCCTGAAAATTTAATATTTGGCTTGAGGGTTAAGTTAACTCTATCTGTTTACCAAAAAAAAAAAAAAAAGTTAACTCTATCAAAAAGGGTTACACAAAAAAGTATTTGATTTGAACATATTATTTTTTTATAAATCATATTTATTTGCAATTAATATTACTAGTATTTAAATTACCTAAAATATATCTTATTGATATATTTGAACATGATTTCAAACAATTAGTAGAAATAGTTAATAACGGACAGTAAGTTTTAAAGTTTCTGTTTCTTTTCTTACTTCTTTGATAATTTTGGCAAAGGAATAGACAAAACGGTTTTCACTTTTCACCTTTTCTTTTTCTTTGACAAGGACAAAACACACAAGTTATCATTGAAAAAAATAAAATAAAACATACACACAAAAGTTTCAAGTACCTTTTTATATTCAATTAGACAAAGTTCCCCATTTTAAGGAAATAACAGGGAAATGTGAGTTATTTTATTAAATATGATAGCATACTAAAATAATAATGACTAACTAAACTATAGAAGTGACATTTAGTGTGTAAAATCATTAATTATTTTCATAGTAAACAACATTTGCACAGATTAAACAATGCATGTGCATTATTTACAAAAAAAAAAAAAAAAAAAAAAAACCAATGCATGTGCACAATTTAGATATTATTAAAAATTCTACGATGATACCATATATTTTCTACCAGCTTACATGTTAGTAAGTGAAAAGTTTATAAATATAAATTAATAGGGAAAAGTTATATTTATAATTTTATTTTTACAAATTATACTATGTAGTAAGGTTAACACATTCTAGTACACAATGTATTATCTTTAGTATATAGTGTAGTTTGTAAAAAAAAAAATTGTAAATATGAAGATGATTATATTTACAAACTAAATTGTTTATAAGCTCTTACAACCAAATTTTAACTGTTAAGTTTCATCAATCTAGCAATTACAATTTATTGGGTCACCCTTTTAATTAATTATTAGCTCAATAAATTATAATTGTTAAATTAACAGAAATCGACAGTTATAATTTGATTGTATGAGTTTGTAAACAATTTAGTTTGTAAATATAACTTTTTCATGTAAATATAACCCTTCGCAAATTTATACGAATATTAATTTTTTGAGTTTAATGTTTTTGCTTTTGTCTGCATATTATATTCACATTAAAATGAGTGGATCCCATTAATCTTTTATTTTTTTTTCTCTCTTTATATTTGGATCTACTCAGCTCTATGTAAGTGGTAGAAAAAAAAATTTATAGCAAAAACAGAAATAATAAACTCAAAAATTTTATTTTTAAAATTGGTCATAAAAATTATGACCCCTCGATTTTAGGGAAAATACTGAATAAAAATGGAAAAAGAAAAATGGAAAGCAATAAAAATTATGGCTAACGGTCAACAACTTCTGGTCAAAGCATTTTCTCATAAGCATGAAGCAGGTGCATATGGTAGGTATCTGCAATTATAGATAGAATGGTCCCTGCCAATTGAAATAACGCATTCCACATGGTACGGTTAGAAGGGAAATTGTGTTTGGGTTTTATTAATCTCCTTTTACATAAGATAGGTATCTTATGTTGTAGAGAGAAACTGAGAGAGTCCCATCATTACAAGAAAAAAGAAAAAGAAAAAAAGTGAAGTTCAGAAATCGAAGTGAGAAAAAATAAAATAAATTACCTTATGTAAAAGGAGAGAAATATTTCCCATTATGTTTTTCATATAGGAGTGCCATGTAAAGAAAAATCTAAGACTCAAGAATCTTAAACAAGGTTGTGGAGCCTTGCAAAAATTTCTTTTTATGTAATTATCACTTGTAACAAATTTATATAAGAAGCTTTAGAAATGTTATATTTATAACTTCTTTTTGTTTATAATATTTTATAATTAAATTTTAACTGTTAATTTTTAATAATATGATGGTTATAATTTATTGAAAATTAATAATTAATTAATAAATATAATCAAATAACTTATAGTTATTAAATTAATAAAAATCAACGATTAAAATTAAATTATAAGAGATTATAAGCGAAAAATGGTTATATAACCTCCCTCGAAAAGGTTTATTCTTGTTCTTATAGACTGATACAAGTTTTAGTTAAATGTATTTATAGAAATTAGTTATATTGTTTTTCAATTGAAGAGATTAATCTCAACTTACGATATAATAGGAATAACGGGTAGTGTTGCTTTTATTTTAACTTTTTTGAGAGATGCTCAAACTACACTGCTATATTTTATTTCCAAATATGGAACTTTTTTTTTTGGGTAAAATATATGGTACTTTCGTTTCTTATAAAATAATGTGTTCTATTTTAGTATATTTCAATATAAATAAGCTTTTTAAGAGTTTTTTTTTTTCCCACTCTCAGCGCCGGTTGTTATTAGTTATGACTATGAGTAATATATTATAGACTTTCTAATTTTAAAAATAAAATGAAAAATTTGAATGAAATCTCGAGACTGATAATAAATAAAATTCAAAACTATATTTTATCTTTTAAGTTCTTATGATAAAATTGTTCAAAAATAACTGTCACAACTCACAGGGTGATGGGAAAGTGTCACTGAGTATTAGAAAATATCATATTTGGTTCAATTTTTGTTTTAAAAAATACTAGGCAAATAAGAAGGTTAGGAAATGATTTTAGTGTTGATTTTTGGGTGAAATTCACTGTTACAAAATACCACTTAAAAAATGATATTTTGAGATAAGTGGGGAGTGAAAAAACAGGTGTGAAGTTTTTCCCAAACATAGATTTTACAAATTTAAATAAATTTCTCCGGTAATATTTCGGTCAACCAAATATCTTTTTTAAACTTTTTCATCAAACTGACTTTCTTACCATTTCTCCAGTAATTATATTTTTTTAGTAAAAAAAATTTTCTCCTTTATCAAACGCTTCATAAGTAATATAAAAAATACCACGTGTAAACCACATTAATGCTAAGAGGTTTTTTTTAAGGGATTAGTGTTTCTCATTTTGTAGGAGATAAAATTATCTCCTAGACACAGATAAAAGTATGTGAGATTCATATTTTTTTTTCTCTCTCTTTTCTTCACATGGCCTCACATGGGTCCCATACACTTTTATGTATGTATAGGCGATAACATCATAAACATTAATCTATTTTTTTAATGGCAATAATTATTTTTTTGAAACGCATACCACATTACCACGTGTAAACCATTTACACAACTCACGTCCAAACGCGTTACACACAATACTTCCAATTAATGAATCTCGACCGTTCATTTCTGGAAGTACTTACGTTAGATCGGAGATCTGAGTAAATTCCAATAACACCCTCTACAAAATAGAAATATCCATGGCTTCGAAACGCAACGGATACGTAATATAAAGTAATCATAAGGGCATAAAAGTAACAATTGGTGACGTTTTAAATTCGCAAAGCAAGGACAGTTTTTGAGTAGTGTCCTTTTTCGTCATTTCAAATAATTTATCTCTCCTGCTCTGTTTTTTCTTCGTGCTCTGCTTCGCTCTCAGTTCTGACTCTGATTTTCTCTCTCTCTCTCTTTCCATTTCCATTGAACTTTCTCTCTCTAGAAATTTCTCTGTCCTCCAGCTGTGGTATTTCTGTATCTGCCAAAGGGTAAAAACCCCATTAGTCTATTCTCCACAGAGCAAAAACTGAAGTTTTTTGTTTTGTTTTCAAAGCTCAGAGAAAAAGCACAGCATTGAAGAGCTTGGAATATACACACACCACAGTGCTTGGTTTTCCATTCATTCTAGGAACTATTTCAGTATTGAGGTTAAGTTTTGAAAAACATCATTACCCTTTTTATTTTTTTTCCATTTTTTATTTGGTTTTACCATATACTAGTTTATATGAAACTGAGTCAGTGATTTTTTTGGGTTTTGCTTCCGGTTTGAGGGTGAAAGTGGGTGTTTTTGTTGTCTTCTGAGGGAAAAGTTTTCAACTTTAAGGTTTTTTTTTGTTGGGGTTGTAGTGCTCGTTAGGGAAGCGTTTTTGATGATGATGCTTCTTTTGTGGTTTTTCATGTTGGTAGTTTCTGTGGGTTGTTGTTGTTGTTGGTAGTGGTGCTCATTGTTTTGGTCATCTTTCGGGTGTGGTGTTGTTGTTTGTGTTTGGAGAAAAGTCTTTTCTTTTTATTTTTTATTTTTTATTTTCTTTCTATTGATTTTTGTGTATTTGATCTTGATGGATGATGGTTTCTTCGTTGCTTCGGTGTTTGGTTGCAGTGGTGTTTCAGGGTAGCACTTGGAGTTGGAGAATAACGTATAATCATATTTAATTCTTCTGACTGTTTTCTTGAGATTTACGTTTCACAATGAGAAGAAGTAGTTGACACCTTCGTATACCCCTCAATTTCTCGGGATATTTCTCACGGTATGTTTAATTCCTGACTGAGTCATTATTGTGATGATTAAATATAATGGTTTTTTTTTTTTTGGTGAATGTGAGAAAGTAATGCATAAGGATATGCATCATTTATGCAGTTGTTTCTTGTTTATATCGGCTGTTCCAATGTTAATGCATTTTTTTCTGGCAACATTTATGACTTTTGAGTGTTGTAATAATATGTGTAGGAGTTTGGTGTTTGCAAAATTGGAAATTTTGGTTTTTGAGGTATCAACTTACTTTATGGTAAAATGTGGATTTTTATGAAAGTATAAAAAGAATCTGATATAGTATGATTTTGACTTTTCTGATAATAGGCATGTGAACGTCTGTCATAATGGATGTTGAAATGACATTACCGCTTGGAAAGATGTTATGTGTAACAGTAACTTTATCTTTTCAGAAAAGATTTTCCTTACTAATTTATGATTTCTATTTCTTTTTCTTTTTATTTTTTATATAACGATAATGTTTTTTTGTACCGAATGTTTTAATGAGATTTTACTGTAGAGTTATCATATATTCAGTTATTCACAACCAGTCAATTTTGCTTTTCTTTTTCTCTTTCTCTGTGTGGAAGTTTCTGTCAGTATTAATGTGCATGAAACATTTGTTTTACTTCATAGTTTTTCTAGAGTTACTAACGTACCTCATGGACTTTTTTTTTTTTACAATTATTAATATAATTATTTTTTTATATCTTTGTCGAATTTATTTTTCTAACACCTTGCACGGCTTTACTTTGTTTTTTTTTTTTTTTTTTTTTTGAGAACCATATGGGAATGTATCTCTAAGAAACGTTACAGTTTATTTTATATTAAGAATAATGTGGGTGGAAAACAGTCAATGAAAGTTAAAAAATAATAATGTTTGAATGATTTTTTGTAATTTTGTATATTCTTTATATTTTACCATTATGGCACAGTTGTAGACAGTACAAGTGCTCAGAGGACATGATTTTAGTCACGGGAAACATAAATTATTAGTATTATTAACAAGTACAATCATCTCAACGTCTATTCGTCTAAACCATGTCTTTATTTGTTCCATGGAATATATAATATTTATGAATTATGTACTGTTGGGTGATAAATTTTCTAAGTGCTGTGTTATTTTAGGTTATGTTAATTGTTCACGGAAAATAACTTTTATAGGTTCCTAGTTAAATGGGAAATTATAACTCAATTGTTACATTAACTTTTTTTTTTTTTTTCCTTTTCCTTCTTGATGTTTGACACATAACCCCTTGTGAAACATTTTCCATTTGTCATGATAATAAAGTTAGGATTTCCATGTCAGATATTCACTTTGATTGGCCAAGTACTATCTTACTGTAAAGCTAGATCTTGTAGATATTGGATATGCAGAACTCAAGGAATCCTAAGGTTTATTAATCAGGCCATTATATATATATATATATATATATATATATATATATATGAGAGTCGTAATTCAAATATGATTTTGGAATATCTAATAATTGCCATACAAAAGTTGTGGTTTACCTGAATTTATGATTGGATTTCACCACTCCTTTGTAAAACATGGGAAGGGAATAGAATCAGTGTTGATGGTGACTGTCTTTAATCATTATTGCTTACATAATAATTCATGTCAAAGAAACTAATTGACCGATTACATATTACAAAAGAAGATATGATTAATTCACTTATGGACCTATTGCATACGCTCCTTGAAGGAAACTAAACAAGGCCTGATCAACTTGTCAAATCATAATAAAGTATGTAGAAATGATGACCTTGTTTTCTTGTTGGGAGATGGTGTTAAATTAAATCAAGGTTTACAGTTTTTGCTTTTTCATGGTATAAAACATTGTATTTTACTAGGAAAGTGGACGTACACAATTTTAGGGTGATGTATTAAGTGAATCTTCTTTTTTGCCTTTGATTGTTATATAAGTCCCTTAGTTTTCATTTTTTAAGAATCATGTATTAAATTGCTAAGTGCCATCTTGGACAAAGATGCTTAGTATTACGTGGATAAACTACAACTTTGAACTTTTTATTGTATCTTTAGATCTTGTACTTCAGTTTCTATTCTTTTTATTCCTGTAAGTTGTGTTTTATATGAAGAACAAAAAGAAAAATTCCTTCCTTTACTAAAGGCATCGATCTATGTGTTAAAGCATTTTACTTTTCTTTAAACAAATAATTTTCACCTCAACATTCTCATCATGATCACCATCATCTTAAAACTTTATTGGTCTTGTGAATCCTTTTGAATGTATTGCCACTGGAATACATATCACAATTCTCATCTTCATTTGCAATTATTGGGAACACTTATGCAGATGGAATCAATGAAGCCATCAGCAGTGACCCCAAGTAAGAAGTTGGCTCGCAGTTTTGCCAAGGTTCTTCATCTTAGAGCACTAATTGGAATTGCATCAGTTGATGGGTTGAAGAATGTTATATCTGATGCAAATCTCAAAGATGAAGGGAACATGGATAAGACTACATTAAATTGGTCTGAGTCTTTCAACACAGATGATGATGAAGAGCTTCAGGAAAGAGTGGCCACAGAAGCTCTCCTTGCAAAACTGTTTGCTAGCATTTCAACTGTTAAAGCTTCATATGCTCAGCTACAGTATGCTCAGTCACCTTTTGACCCTGATGGAATTGAAGCTGCTGATCAATTGCTAGTGTCTGAGTTGAAGAACTTGTCTGAACTAAAGCAATGTTACTTGAAGAAACAATTTGATCCTTCACCAGAGACAGCAATTCTTGCAGCTGAATCAAAGGAGCTGAAGAGTGTTAACAAAACATATGAAATTACGGTGAAGAAGTTAGAATCACAGGTGCGGCTTAAGGATTCCGAGATTATGTTTCTTAGGGAGAAGCTAGAGGAAGCTAACAGGCAGAACAAGTCAATAGAGAAGAGATTAAATCAAAGTGGGGCGTTATCTGTACTTGATAATCTTCATATATCAGGATTAAGTCCTAGCCATTTTATCACTGTTCTTCGCCACACGGTTAGGTCCATTCGGAACTTTGTGAAGTTGATTGTGGATGAAATGAGATCTTCAGATTGGGATATTGATGCTGCAATTGATGCTATTGAGCAGAATGTGGTTTACTGGACAGAAGACCACAAGTGTTTTACAATTGAGTCCTTTCTTTGTAGGGAGATGTTTGATTCTTTCCACTTCCCTAATTTCTCCCTTCCAAATGAGTCTCTTCCAGATAGAAACAAGCAACAACAGTGGTTCTTTGGGAGGTTCAATGAGCTTAAATCCATGAAAGCAAAGGAATTTCTTGCTGAGAAGCCAAGATCATCATTTGCAAAGTTTTGCAGGATCAAGTACTTGAGACTTGTTCATCCCAAGATGGAAGCATCATTCTTTGGTAACCTGAGCCAGAGGAACCTTTTGAATGCTGGAGAGTTTCCAGACACTGCCTTCTTCACATCATTTGCTGAGATGGCTAAGAGGGTATGGCTCTTACATTGCTTAGCCTTCTCTTTTGAGCCTCAAGCTTCAATCTTTCAAGTGGGGAAAGGATGTAGATTCTCTGATGTGTACATGGAAAGCGTGAATGATGAAATGCTCCTCTATTCAGACCAGACAGTGGAATCAGATCCACAAGTGGCTTTCACAGTAGTTCCAGGGTTTAGGATTGGTAAAACTGTTATACAGTGCCAAGTGTACCTCTCACCACACCAAACCATGGTAAAAAATTTCACTTCCACAAAGGAAAGGTGACAACTTTTGTGGTCAGGCACTGACCCCATATCACAAGTTATTGAACTGTAAGGCATTCTTTTTTCTTAATTGAACTTTTTGGAAGAAGGGAAAGGACATGGCCCTTGCTGTGATGCATGGTAGCTGATTGTGTTTGTGGGGACTTGATCTCTGGCTAGGTTCAATGGGGGTATCTTGTCCATTTTGAAAAGAAAAAGGTTGTGGACCGTTGCATTGGGAACAACCTTTTTGTTTAGAATCTTTTTTAATTTATGCAAATTTATGTAAGACATGCCCCCAAATTTTGTTGATATCAGGCCAGTGACAGAGATTGTCTAGCTGTAATGCATCTTTAGACATTGCATGATATAATATGTACATAATAATATATGGGGGGGAACATTATATTATAATCTTTGTTCTGCCCAATTTCTCTTTTTTTTTTTTTTATGGGTTATATTTATCTCATTTTATATGAGATAAACAACTCTCCTACACACAAAAAGGAGTTGGGTTTTACCACTTTTTTTTTTCTCTTATCTTATCTGTGGATTCTACTTATATTTTTATTTTTATAACATGAGATAGTTTTTTTTCTACAATGTAAGAAAATGTATCTTTTTTTTATTGCTACTTGTAGCTGTGGATGCCCCTAAACTATGATTTGACAGAAGAGGTATTGTTATTCGTCATTCCTCTTACGGAATGCTGTCTCTAGTGGTTAAACCTCAAGAAAAACAAAAATAAAAAAAATTCAAATGCCAATTTTGCCCTTGTAGATATGAATATCATTTAATGGAGTGAACTAATTCATAGGGACTGTTGTTAATGTGCGGGACACATTGGGTTTGTGAATATATTGAAAGCTAATTTGGGCCCCACGTGAACGAGGTCTGTGGGGAAGGGACATACATTTGAAGACAATATTTGCTAACCTTTCTTGTCCCATAAAGGAGGATGTGATTCTTGATGGTATGCATCTTCATGTAATGTTTCCAAACGTTACAGATATCTGCTAATGCAAGTAATTGAGCATATTGTGATGTGGCTCACATGGAAGAAGTGGAAAGTGGAAAGGACCATATTAGATCTTTGGGGCTAGTCATGTCTTTAAAATCTTGGAAAGATGCCATCTTTTTTCTCGGAAAATAATTGTGGGTCATTTCTTTTGCTCCTTTCATTTCATTAGAGGTGGCAAAGTGGTCTATTTCACTCGACATCAATCCAGTAAAAAATGATTCACCTAGTCTTGTTTGGTGGGCAAGACGGGTTAACCCACTGGCCTAAATATATTTTACATTAATCCGTCCCGCACATCAACTTGTCTAACAGCGAGCCAGCCCAGCCGGGTCGATTTTGCTAATCCTACCTTTCACAATGTTTAGTCCATGTGGCAAAGGCCAAAACCAGCTATAAGTTGTTTTCTCGATAAATACTCTTCTATTATCTTCTCCCGAGGGCACTCCATCTTATTCACTAGTGGGTTTACAAGGTTTTTATTCCTATAAATATCACTCTTCTACAATTTTGACTATAACTACCAGAGTCTCGCACCTCTTTCTAATTCTTAGTGTTTGCCTTAGATTATACACGATGATTTTATTGTTGAGCTTAGGCTAATATTTTTTTCTCACTTGATCACTGTTACATCGACATACTTTATAGGTTAAAATTTTTCTAAGGTAATTATAGTTTTTCAAGTTTATGATTGAGTATAATTGTATGTCTAGGTATTTATTTTGAGTTTAATAATAAAAAAAAAAACACAAGTGAGATTATTTGCAGTTGAATGGAGCCACTTGTACAATTGAGACAATTATTGATGATGGTGGCAATCAATTCAATGTACCAATGAGAAATATCTATGGTATTACAGTTGTACTATTCATTCAGTACATCTATCCAATAAAAAATGAAAAATGATTATCATGTTTGTATGAAAAAAAGAGAAATATATTTTTTTTATCCAAGTGTCACTTGTTGAATGACAGATGTACCTACTACAGATGTACAGAAGATGATCTCGTACCAATGGGCCTTATGGTTTCTGGAAATATGTGATGGGTTCTTTTTTTGAGGATCATAATTGGCTCTCCTTGTTATGTTGTCTGCATAATGACAATTTTAATTATACTTGCACACACAATACTATTGGTTCATGGGTCTCCCTCCTCGTTGGTGGTTCGACTTTCCTTTCCCATATTCTTAGTTAAAAAATTCAGCTATTTTATATCTATTCCCAAAAAGAAAAAATAATGACCATCTGATTGATAATAATAAATTAGGGAGAAGAGGAATGATAGATTTAGATTTTTGACCATATAAAAATTAAAGGGCTTATCTACTTAAAAAAAGAAGAAGGTAAAGGGCTCTAGCACATGGGCTTAATGGATTTTTTAAAACTGGACCAGTTAAAAACTTATTATGATATTAATTTTGTGGTGTTAATCTTATCACCACTATACACGTCTTTTGTGGTATCGTTATTATGGGTTTGCAGTTATTTGGCAAATGAGTTTTCTAATCAACATATTATGGAAGCTTCCATTCCTTCTTTTTCTTTCTTTAGTCATACTTATACATGGAGGCTTCCATTCAGCGTATATTCTCTTTCTTTGCTTAAATTGGTTCGAATATTTCTTCATGAGATATTGAGATGACTACACTTACCCTTTTATATTTAATTATTAATGAAAAAAATAAGATGCAAGGGTGTGACAATTTGTGGAGGCCCTCATCACATGTTATTAACATTAGATTCTCTTTTTGCCTCTTAATATAAGTACAACCTGTCATTTAAAGGAAATGTACAAACACTCTGGACAATAAAACTCACATTTTTACATGAATCCTATATTCAACAAGAGTGGATTAGCATAAAGACTTATACCTTGTTTGGCAATTTTTTTAAGTTAAAAGTTATTTTTAAACTAAAGTTAAAAGAAAAACTTAAAAAATAAAGATAAAAAGGTGTTTGTTGATTATATAAAGCTATTATGATGGTTTTGATGGACGGAAGATGAAATAATTTGTTATTATAATAGATTATAAAAGTAAAATTGGTAAATACAAATTTAAAATAAGGGTGAAATTAAAAATAAATATGAGAACCCTATAAAGTTAATATATGTCTTAAAAAAAGTTTCTCTAGAGAGCTTTTAGCTTTTTTATTTTATTTATTATAACAAAAAAGTCTTGTTATAATAAAAGCTTTTGTAAAAATATGTTTAATTAAGTTTCTTCTTATAAGGAAAAAAGAAGATAAAAATACAAATTAGGTGAAGATTACATTATTTACTTTATATTATATTTTTTCTAATATACACCTCATACAAGAATTAATTCATCCAAAAAATTAAACTATTAAGTGAAGAAATAAAAAATACATTAATAATTTTATATTATCTGTCTCTAATGAATTACATTTCAAGCATCTATAAAAGCGTGTTAAGCTACATTTTTGCCAATATAAGATTAAGTGGATTTGTTTGGGCGAAATTTGAAGTGCCAAAATAGGCCCGACTTAATAGAATAGGTTGGTTGAAACAAATGGGCCAAGATAGACTCAGTTTAAAGTATTAAAATATGTTTCAGTTATGCCAGAAGAGATTAATTTAGTGATGGAATATAACAATTACATGATCCAATGTAAAGATAGGTCAATCGATGTGTATACAAGCTAGCTTGGACAGATCTTCACCACACACAAAAAAAAATTTCACTCGTTAGAAAATAGGGATAGGCTATTTTGCTTATTTTTATTTTATCTATCTTTGCCTACCACTTTCAATATCATTAGATTACAATCTCATCTAACGGTGGAGATTTGCATAATAAAATAAATCATTTTCCTTTTTCTTTCTCCTCACTGTCGCTCACGCTCTTTCTCTCTCCTCCTCTTTCTCTTTCTTCAATGGCGCTTCAGCATAAAAAAAGTGTAAGCTTTTTTTTCAATTCATGCAACCCAGCCATTGTTATGAGCATTTACATAAAAAATTGAAATGTGGTGTCAAGAAGAAATAAACCCAGATGCCCTATGTTATGGAACCAGGTAGGCCTGTTGTTGGATGTAAAACATATCTTTTCCCAACTTCAAGGTAAAAAACAAAATAAGAAGAAGATAAGTTGATTCCTTTCAAATTTCAACAGCAAAGTAAAAATGTTACGGTAGTCGTGGATTAATTCAAATGAAGGGTTATTCGTGGTTTTCGTTTTTTTTTTTTTGTAATTTTGTGATTTCTGCCATGTTCAATTTTATCAGATTCAAGAAATTTTGAAAATTATACTCATCCAGCACAACTATCATTCCATTAATCATTGCATGGATTTGATTCAAATATAAATTCATGTTGTAAATGACGCAAATCGATAGAGAGAAAGAGCGTGCGCGACAGTGGGGGGAAGAAAGGGGAAAATGTTTATTTTATTCTGCAGATCTCCATCATTGGATGAGATTGTAATCTAACGATATTAAGAGAAGTAAGCAAAATAAGAGTAGGCAGAATAATATATCCCTAGAAAATAAAATTGATAGTTTGCACGTAGATGGTATAATTTAAATCTTTTAATAAGATTAAAAGTGGATGATAGGTGAAATATAAAATGTTATCTAATACCTAGATTCTCTAATGTTTCTTCTCATGATATAAGAGAGATGATGCAAAAGCAAGTTTAACGGACCATATACAAATAATAATAGTTGAACCGCTGATGGTTCATAGATATACCCTTGGCGGGTATATTACGTTGATCTAAGAGTACTCCAAGCAGCCACGATATAAACTAAGGCTCTCTTAAAGCTTTCCATGTACGTATATCAAGGGGGAGTGTGTGAAGGTGAAAATGAGTAGAGAAGAAGATGAGTAGTCAAGATGGAAGATCTTCCCTTCTATGTGTGAGGGGAGTATTTAAAAAGAGAAAGTCTCTCTCAAGTGTGGGAGAGAGAAAGCATAGGGCTGTCACCTGGCTTGCCTAGCCTTTCCAGGCTAGGCATGCTGAACCCTCTGCCTAATGAGCAGGGGCAGCAATGCAAAAAAAGGGGGAATGACCCAATAATGAGCTTCCATGACTTTTTATGGATGCCATCAAAAAAATTCTAGATATGAGCTTTGATATTGGACCCCACTGATTGAGCCTACAAATATGAGATGACCAGAACAATAGTATTTCTTTTTATGTATTTTTACTCAAAACATGAGAAGATCAAAATTCATTATTATCCTATTACTAAACTAGTAATTTGTTTTATGCGTGTAAGGCATCATAACAATAACAAAGAAAGAGATGGGCTTTCAATCCATACAGAAAAGCATACCTTCATTAGATGCATAGGAATAATGACACTTCGATTACCTAATATTGACTAGTACTAAGGAAACAAGATCACTGAAAACTCTTACAATAGTGAAAATATTATTATACTTATTTAATACATGGGAAATTGTAACTCAATATCATTAAAATGTAATATAGAGAGGAAGAAGGCGAATGTCAG